AGCGGGTCGCACACCCCCACCAAAGTTTTCTCGGAGTACTTACTCCCCCGCCCCCCGGGCAGTGGAAGAAATGGTTTTCACAAAGATGATCACACTAGACTTCGGGAATAAGTTTAAAGCTTCGGGAATTTCGAGTTGAGCAATGTTCTGAACGGCTTTCACGAATAAAAAGAACCAAGCCCTAAGTAGTATTTGTAACTCTTGTCGAGCCTTGTCGAAAAACAATGTAAGTATGATTGCAATGTTTTTATGCTTAGTTATCTTTCATCACTTTGAATTCCGACAACGCCTGTAGACTGTCATTTCTTGAGTACAGTTTATTTGGCTGTTCGCTACGGGAAGACGCAAGGGCGAACAGTTCAAACGGAAGATGGACAAGAAATTAGAATATAAATTTTGCCTGAATAAAGTGATCTAATCATACATTCAGAGTGCCTAAAAAGTCGCGCCGTCGGTCAAAACAAGTAGGACATGGTGTTAAATTATGAAATAACAATCAGTGTCAAGACCTCGGAGCTTTGTTTGTTCCTGTACAAATACCTTCCAGAAATCTGACAGGTTTTTGTCAAGCACCAACCAATATTCAAAAGTTTTACGATCCAAAGTCAATATTTGGGCTGAGACATTCAATGTGAATAGGTTTAGTTAGCGTCCTGTGCGACCGAGCTCGAATAGCCAGGGTTTCAAGCGGGATTAGCACTTTTGGAGATCAAAGCAATTTACAACTGTCCAGTGACACACAAATGACGACAAGCAGAGAACATACCAACTGTTCAGATCGTAAATGCAAGCGATATCCTCTTGGCGTTATTTCGTTGCCACAGATCTCTTTCCATGCTGTGACGTTTGTATCCGCTAAGAACGAGTTTAAGCGGCATTTAGTAATGGTCATTAAAAAGACCAGCTGAAAGCTTGCGTTACATTGAAGGCGGGATTCTAGGCCTGCCCTAGAGACCCTCAACGTGGAATCTCGGTTCATATTGCGGGAGCACAGAATCACCGTCTTAAGAATAGACAGAGAAACTTCCGGTGGTGCACGCCTAGCGCATTCAAGGGATTTGAGGTGATATCAAGACGCCACATTACACAAATACTGTGTTTATACTACAAGGACAACTACTGCCGGTCGCTGAAGTTGAATTGGATCGATCAGGGCAATTGGCGGAGTCAACGAACGCAACGAACTCAAAATGGTCGTTCGCAAGTCGGAAGGTTACACTCTGTTGTTCCTCGAGATTTTCATAATTATCCTGAACACTTTGGCTATAATAGTTATTCAACGCTTCAAAAAGAAATACAACCCAGACATTCTGATACTTACTCTAGCCGTTGCAGATCTCATAAAGGCGTTTATTCCTTTGAACATGTCTTTGGTGGCTTACCTTGGCGGTATAGCTATGACTGAAGGCTCCCCTAAGTGTATTATATTCGGCTGGACGGCTTTCACTGTAAACAGCTCGATCATGCTTGTTATGACGATAATGGCAATCGACAGATATGTGGCGATATGCTGGCCTTTTGAGTACAAGCATAACCTCACGAAGAAACGACTAATTTACGCTATCATTGCAGTGTTTGTATTCAGTGGGGTCCATTCCATCTTACCCTTAGTAGGAGTCGGCAGAATGAGGTCGTATTATAACGGAAGCTTTTGCCATTTTGACTTTGATTCCACGGTTCCTGCGTCTCTGGGTTACAGCGTTTTTGTTCTGGTTCTGGGGATATCTATGCTTGTGGTTGTGATATTTTGTTACACTCGCGCCATGTTAAGCATCAAAGGGCTTATTCGTCGCCAGCGTCGAATGTCCGCTTCTTCACGCGACGTTGATGGCGCTGATCGGAAAAGACAATCCATGAACCATATGTTTGCTCGTCTTATGATTGTTATGATGATTGCATTTTGTATTTCGTGGCTTCTCTTCCTGGTAAGTTAATTTACCGTTGTGGTTAAAACCTTCCTAAGTAATTCACTTTGTCAATATGTTTTTTCACTTAAACAACCTCAATATTTTGATAATTTTTTTCTTCGGCTGTCGCGTTATTTCTACAGTAAAATGCTGGTAGATATGTGAATTACGTAGTCCATGCGTCTGTCCTCGAAAAGGTAACTAACTAGTCCAATGATCCCTGTTTTCGTTCTATTCCTGCTGTTTCATTTTCAACAAGGTATCTTGTACTTAGTGATCATGAATAACTTGCTGACTTAGCCATTTTAGGATTATACCCGTCTCTATCCTTCGAAGTTTCTTCAGCGTTATTAGACAAACAGGAAAATGTGAATCATAGTTCTCTGTGCTTTGCAGTTTTGTATGCCTAAAATCCGAAAGTTTAAGCTATTGCAGATGCAGCCGCTTATTTAATACTACTGATTGTTTTGAATTAATTCCTGGATTAAGAAGTACATGAAGCTGTCTTCTGTTTCGCGCTCGCCGAATTTTTTTCCCGTACTCTCCGGGAGTCTGTTCGCAGGCTAGAAGCTGTAGCTTGCGGCGAACGACACCAGTCCTTTCATCGCATATCGCCTACCGGTCACCTTAAAAACTTTTAAATACGTGCAGTGGTCAGTTCTATTCATGCAAACGCATAAATTGTCTCTTTTGGTTTCCTAACTCATGAATTTATCTGTATTTTATCGTTTGAGGTAACTCTAAGCTATCTTTGAGGGGAAAGTTTTGAACCCTTTCTTTTCATGTTTTTCATGTTTTTGATGTACACGTACTTCAGTCTGAAAACTGTTTTCATGCGTGAATAGATGATCTGTGGCGCACAGCACGTTACAGCTGAACAGCTGAAAATGACGCTTTGCATATTGATATTTATTTCCTCGTCTGGACTGATCGTCAATTTATCTCGCTATCAAGACGATTAAAACAACCGATTATTTGACAGTTTAAAAATTATCGTAAATCTTTTGATGAATATTTTGTGTAAAACGTTCATTTCGTGGGAAACGACTTGGGTTTATTTGTCTCACGTTTGCCAAACAAACATTTATTGTCTTCCATTCTTAATCAAGCATTTCTTATTGGTTCGTACTGTATTTGCCTTAATACATCCACTGAATTTGATTGAACAAGTCGGTATTTTTAGAAATTGGCTAATCGATCCAGCACGAAAAAAATTGGACTTTGTTCAGAGGGTTGCGTGAAGCTTTCAACACACGATAGCGAACATCTGTGAAATGCTTTCGTTATTTTTAAACAAAACAATTAGGCTTCCGTGTTGTGCTACGAGATGCACAGTTTCTTCCCCCCCCCCCGGTTCAAATTAATATCTTGCACGTTGAGAACAAAGATATGCAATTAATGGTTTTGTGGTGACGGACCACAAAGGAAGGGTGTGAAAGAAATATCGAGTCTCGGTTGTTCTAGTACAAGGTTTTTACTTTGGTCGTTACCTTGTTAAAACAATAAGCTGTTTAAGAGAACGAACTTTGCTCATGTATGAAAAGAAACGAGGCGACATTTGCATTGAATCTGGAACATAGAAAGACAAAAACTGACACTAGCTTGGAGACTAAAATTTGTTCTTGCATTAATTATCTTTGTTGAGTCTCTTCGCTATATATGTTGATGGAAAATTACCACCCCCAACCCCTAACTGAAGTTACTAGCCTTAATTTCTATTAAATTGTTGTTTCCTTGCTTGATTCGATTCAAAAAGTGAAATCTAAAGGCAATCAGTGAACTACCCAACAAGATAAAATCTGCCCTTTAACGGTCACGGTTTAACCAGCTCCATAATCTTGGTATAAACAGCCAAGGTATGAACAGAAACCGTCTTAGTCTTTCTGCAGGGCAACAGTTCTCTTTTTCTTCCACAGATCAGGATTTTGTTTCAGACTTATGCCCAGCTGGTAACAGGCAAGCAATATCAGCTTGCCCAGTAAAGCTCTGATCTAGACAATTCATGTTTGTTGTTACATAAAGCATGGCAAATAAGTGACATACTTTGGTTGACCTTATTTACCGCACTCAATTCAAAAATTAGGAAAAGGAAGATAAATAATTGCAAACCCGCTGATAAAAAAAGCAAAAATTGCAAAGATGAAAAGCCGGCCGAACAGGAAAATTTAAGTGGCAGTAATAAGCTCGCTGCGATCTAGCTCGCTGCGATCCGCATGGCATGTGGAATATACCAATCCTTTCGTTGTTTTGGTGAAATTTACATGAACCACAAAATAATCCACAATAAGTTATTTTTTTAAGGTCAAGTAAAATCACGTTAGCCCAAACAAACACAAGGTTACAATGGTGGAAAACATCTGATTGGCCTTAAGGGGTCTGTTACACTCTTCTGCGCGTGTGCGGCGATTTGTTGTTCTGACTAGCTGGTCCAATTTGCAAAGTTGTAAATTTTATCTCATCGATCATGTGGGAACTGCAAAAGTTGTAGTTATGGTATTCAAGAAACCATTTGCTATTGGTGGAGGGTTTTCAAGGCATATTTGGTATTTTTGTTGAGGATCATAGGGACATTTTTCGTCTCCACAGAAAAGTATACGAAGCCGCGCCGCTTGTCACATGTAAAGGGTTAAAGGCGGGGCATGAAGTTCCCAAAGAGAAGTGATTATCATAAAGCCTCACGAGGAAATCACAATTATTTCGTATGATGTCTGGTACTGAGTTGTTCAGTTGCTTAAAATCCCTCCAAAGGGGCTTCTTGTGTCAATCAAACTCGTACTTCCGCGTTCTCGTGATACAGGCCCTCATTCTCGTGACATCAGGCCTTTTCACGCTCAGACCTAACACAGTAGAGCACACAGAACGCTGGAAACAAATACCACAAAAACTTGGACAGAGGAAGTAATTAACCTTACTCTATCTCGTATCCCACGACTATGAGAAACAGAAAGAAAGACAAAAGCCTTTCTAACTAAGAAATAGGTTTAGAAAAGAAAAGGAAAGAAATGGGTTTAGTCGGCCTTAGTTAGATAATAGGTGTAAACATGAAATTATGATTATCTTATCTTGGTGTAAAGTAACATAGAGTCTTTTTGGAGCCTAAAATGTACTCACATATAATATAGCGGAATCTTTGTTTACAATATTTGCTTCATTACTATTAAAGCGATTCAGTCTCTGATCAAGCTAAAAAAATTCTAGTCCTGAATATTGACAGAGCATAGCACAATTAACTGTCCCATGCAATCTGAACCCGATGAATTGAATAATTTCTGAGCGACGCGGGTTTAAGAATTTGAAATTTCAAAAAGAATGTACGAGCCCATAAGCGGTTTTGCCACCCAGAAATTTTGCCGTTTTTGAAAGCAAATTTCTCCTTAGCCTGTTCCAGGCTCTCAGTGGTTGGGGGACAAGCGAAGAAAAGAGGGCGAGCGAGAGAAAAAACGAGGGAGACTTGGGCGTTCCTTGCCTTAGTCCTCCCTCGTTTTTTCTCTCGCTCGCCCTCTTGTTTTCGCTCGTCCCCAACCACTGAGAGCCTGGAACAGGCTAATTTCTCCGTGAATTTTACACCCAAAGAGCTACAAATCTCACCAATTATCAAGTTTCACAAGTTCTTGATCTCTCGATGTTTGGAGTGAACTCATATCTAGCGTGATGCCTTCTCTGCACAAAGTCGAATGTTAACGAGGAAAAAGGTAAACAATAACCTAAGCAAGATCGCTCTATTTTTCACGCACTTGCCAAGGTTCTATTTACACTTGTTGGAAAAATATTAAACATAATTTGTTTTTTTTCCAGATCGTTGTTCTTCAACACGTGAGCGGCTGGTTCGTAATCCCAGCTGCGGCACATTTCTGGTCCATGCGACTAGCTGTTATTAACTCTCTGTTAAACCCAATAATTGGTGCAGCAATGTGCAAGCCATACAGAAAGGGTTACATGTTCATCCTTTGTAAATGTCTTCACTGCTGTGGATTATGCTCCTCTTACAAAGCCGAAGGTAAGTTAATTTGTCTGTTTCTTGACCAGAAAACAATAGACGGTACCGCGAATTGATCATCTTGTTCGGAATCTTATTAGATTTTGTTTCACTTTGTACCTACCACACCCAAATACAATAGGCGAATCAGCAGCCGTCATCTACGTTCTGATTTTCTGCGATATCAAGTCACTGACCTGAAATGGTACGATATCATAGTCACTTGGACGAATTTGGGTACGGTAAATACCTAATCCTACCTTTATTTCTGGTCCACTTCGGCGGCATATCAGGCGCGTTTGGTCGAGCCATAGGTATTTTGGCTCGACTGCAATTGGCTAAAATGCGAACCATGGCTCGACCAAACGATACGCCGATAAATAAAACTTCTCAGTTCTAGAAAGATTGCATGCCCAACAGAACCGTATCAGGGAACTTTAAAATGCTTAAAGATATTATAGAGAGTTGCAGTTGAGCTTTCCTTGACCGAAGTTCATGGCGTTCATTCCAAAGGAGAGAATGTCATCTGTCTTTTAGAGTTTGGAGACAAAGATCCTGCCAGATTACTGAATGTTCTCCTTCTTTTAACGCAGTTTGTATACGCCATGTATGTTTTGTTTCATCCTCTGTATTGTGTTTTATTTTATTGTTGCTGATGTTGTTGTTGTTGTTGTTGTGTGGGTGTTTTTTCTTCTTCTTTTCAGTGAAGTATGGAATTTGTTTTTGAAGAGATAATTTGGATATTTACTAATTCTACGTTGGTATGTTTGACGTTCAGATCCCTGGACACGTTCCCGGAAGTTGTCCACAGGTTCACGGAACAGTTATGAACGAGATCAAAACGAACCGAACAAAAATGATACTATGAGAAGCAAGATCAGGAACAATCCATCATTCAACAGTTATCAAGATTCTGGCATTGTTCCCGATAGCAATGACTGTACTGGAAGCCTGACATATCATCAGGATGGGGTATTTAACGATGCTTTTGACCTTGACGGAGGTAGTACAAGTGGAGGTGGGAGATGTCAAACACGGCCAAGGCTCTCTAGAAAGCGTATCTCTTTTAAAGATGAATTTGACGCGCAAAACATAGCAGAAATGTCCCTTAGTGAGGAAAACGCCGCGGAACCATTGACGAGAACGCCTGACGATACAACTGTTCCAGACCAGCATCCCATTCCATTCCTACCCAACATTACGAAAGGTGATCTTCTAACGACTCAAGATGTGAATAATGATACTGAAAATACTTCGAGTGGAAACCAGTTTACTTCTGTGCAGGCCCCACCTGAGGGCAAGGACAACAGAATGACTGCAGTCAGTTCAAATGGAAATCAGGGAAGAAAGTACGGTATTTCAGGTAACCATGCATGACATCCTTCGCCAAACGGTGCAGGAAACGTGAGACACGCCCCACGCGATTACACAACTTGAAACAACCGACTTGGATACCTAAACATTTGCTTTCTTTGTTCAGTGAATAATAAGTGAGACATGAAAACCTGTCAATATAATGAATATACAATAGACTCTGCACAATACCAAACTGCGCATGTTTCTTTTTTCTTAGGTATTGATCAGTCTTCGCTTGAGCGGTCTTCAGCTGGGAGACCAACAGGAAATAGCGACTCCCTTCTCACATCAAGCAGCAAAGCCCCTCTGAGAGAAGGCCATAGAACGGAAGAGAAAATAACCCATAGAGAGAAAGCACCGTTAGAAAATACCGTCAGTCAGCTGATGGTAAAAGACGAACGAGCAACAGCAAGCTATTTACCAAAAGGTATAATTGGCGATAATAGTGAAAAAGAGAAATCTTTGAGGGAACTAAGTGAATTGCATTTGATCTCACCAAGAGAATCATCTTTTGAATCAGTTCAGATTACTCATTTTCCTGTTGGTACAAATTCTGGCATAAAGACAACCACGGTGAAATCGCCAGTATTGAAGAACAGTCAGCCTTGTGGTTTTTCACCATTTTCTTTGAGGAGTGGTTCGTTCACTGAAAGAACTCGGGAAATGTCACTAGAAAATCAAAAAGCGCGATCTCGGTCTTTCGCAAATGACCGTTTGGTAAATGAATCCGACAATACAAGGCAGGAAAGACATGATTCACTTGAACGGCAGCCATTAATTCGTCCAGTAACCACACAACGCTCGCATGCAGTGGAAGGTTTGCTTGACACCCCGAGGTACAAATCTGGCGAAGTCCTGCCATCAAATTTCTCGCCAAACCTTGGCAGAGCCAAGAGCTTTGAATCCATGCTCAACAATACTCGCTTTAAATCGGACAGCACAGGGTATGGGGGTCCTGACTTGCCGTCGTTTCAAAGACATTCATCTGCTCTCAAGGGGGGACAGTTAAACGCAACGAGTAACTGGTATTCTTCAGAGCCTGATCTAACTCGCACTTTGCAGGAGACAGTTTTTCTGACTTCACCATGCAGATCACCGCACTGCAACTCCGGACCACACAGTGAGCCCTTTAAAGGTAAGAAACTTCAAGAAAAACATATCCAGGCGAGCCAGTTGTAAGCGGACCCTCTTAACACCGCTCAGTATCGGCTTACTCGATGTTACATTGTCTTACCCACGGTAGAGTCTGTGTCCAGCTCTGGTAGGAATCCATCAGAAGGGCTTCAAGTCCTAAAAGAAACATGCATTTTATGATGTTCATAAATGCCGAAAATTGCCAGTTATGAACTGGGTATAACGGCCCATAGAGAGCTATTTACTAGAAGCAAAATCAGTTAACTTGGTAACGTTCCGCTTACTTGGTCACCTTTGAATAGACAACAGCTTAAAACAACAGTCCATCGACAAATCAATTTGCTATTTAGCGGTTAACTTCGAAGAATTTATTTTGTGTTATTCCACTTCCTTTTTCAATTTCAGAAAATGTGCATAACAGTTACCAAAGAAGAGCCTCTAGTAACCAGGTGACGTCGCGGTCACCAATCAAGATTTGCAGACAATTGAGCGAGCTGAGTCAGAAAGAACTAGAACGAGAAGTTTTCTGCTAAAATTAAATATTAAACATTGGGAGAGAAGAAAAAAAATAGCTTTTTTCCCATGAACTTTAATGCCGAGAAGATGATATTTTAATAGGAGTGTAACCAAAAGAAAGAGATGAAAAAATAGTATGATTATTTGTCGGAACAATTGTAATTTTAATTTTGCTGATTATAGCAGGAAGAGAACATATGCCCCAAACGACAGATATTTAACATGGAAGGTAATTTAGTGATGAATTTCTTTACATAATGAAAAGAAGATCAATAAAAATAAGTTTGCTTTCGAATGCTTAGAACCCTAATTCTGTTTAGACCGGGTCTTTTCGGTGTTCTCGAACTGGGAAGGTTGGGGAGGGGAAGCCTTTTTAGCCCTCCCCTGGGACTCGAAGGGTATTGATTTTGAGACTGTGAGAATGACATTTGGAGGATATAAAAGTTACTGCAAGAAATTTAACTATAGTGTTCAATATGAATGCACAAATGCAAACTTTGAGAAACTTGCCTGTGAAAATATGGTTTCTATGGGAACATCAAGCTAGATGTCCTAGAAGAAATTGTTCCCAGATGGACTTTAGGAAAAGTCACCAAATTTGGAGTTCATTACTTCCATGCTCTTTACGTTACAAAATTGGTGAGGGCCTGAACAGCTTGCCTACCTGGTCTGAATAACGTTAACAAGTCAAGATGACCTAACTAATACTGCGATAACGAAGGCTGATCTGGTTTATAATTTCTCTAGTATCCAGCGAAGGCGTTCCTGCATACATCTGGCTTGTAGATGTTAGGTAGAGCATGCTATGTGCAGCAACATGCGTGTTCATGTGCAGTGTTTTAATTGCAGTACTATACAAATTAGTTGAAGTTTGTGCTCCAAACGCTTCGGTTCTTCGCCTTTTTGTCTTGTTCTCTATTTGATAAAGTGAATAACGTGCGATTTGCAAGAATAAAGGGTTGTAAAGTTATAAACCATACTCAGGATGCAGGTGAATATATTTAAGATCTTGAATTTGAACTGCGGAGAAAGATGTAAAGATATGAATGATGCATCGCAGTTATGGGCGGGGGACTCCGTTTCTATGGCGTAAAGTTAGAATTCTGTGGGAAGGTTAGTTCGCTGGTGGTTTTCCCTCACCCACTTCTCATGTTCATAGTATACTCGATCCAGCAGCGACCAGTCCTGGGCTTCCTCGCCTGCAGACTGCATGTCCCGTAACTTAACTCGAGTCCTCAGGCCTTTGTGAAGCGGCGTCCACTGGGAATAGATTACAAATAGGCATCCCATTCAGAAACTCTTATGAAGTGTATTCCTGTGGAATCCACCGAATCAGAATCAACGGTCCAAGATCGCTCAGATCTACCCTGCGACACAGAAATCCCCTTCTCTTTCTCAGAGAATCTCTATCTCGCAGGGTAAGTCAGACCATGGTACTGAAAGGAACCGACGAATCGTTGTTCAGAGTGGCTTCATCGGTTTTTTTGATGAGTCATGATCCGAGTGTTGTTGGATCATTGATCCTGATCATCCCAAAGTAACGCACCCAAGGAATCACCTGTAATATAACCATTTCAAAAGTACACGATTTCTGTAGTTCGATCAGATACCGCTACAGTGGTGCTTGGAGCTCGTGTCGTCTCAGCTGATGACTTCATATCTGTGACTGAAGGGTAGCCTGATAAAGGCTACTAGATCTCGGTGGAGATCAAGAAAAATATTGCTATACAGCGTATTAAAACAACAGATTTATTCAAGGTTATAAGACTTTCTTCATCCAATATTAAATAGGCGCAAGACTTCTTAAAAACAAATAACACTGCTTTGAATATATTTGCAACTTTTACATTCCACATCAGTGTTAAATATTGTTTCCATTAAAATGATGTCTATCTATAGACCTTGTTCAGAACGGACCTACGTCATGTACAAACGCAAACGCAAGTGGGTCACGTAACACGCCAAGCGGTGGAGGCAATTTTTTAAATTACGACGTCATTCCTTCATTCCGTACTTTGCGCAAGCACTGCAAAGCATGTTATACGTGAGCAGAAAACGAACAAAGGGTGTTCAGTAAACAAAAATAAAAACTTCAATTTGAACTTTTTCTTCAAAATGTTTACAACTAAACTACATGTGCAATTTCTCACTGAAATCTTGTGACGAGTACATCAACAGTCTCAACAACATATGCAGCATATGCCCTTATTGCTTCAAGACCGAAGGCGCTGCAAATGTTACCATCTGTACAGGCAATCTTGAAAGAACGAAAACGGGTATATGTCTAAACAATGGCGATGTTTCCCCTTCCTTGTTCAAGAGCATCGTTTGCAAAGTTATTCCTTCGAATTAGTTTTCTTAACAAATCACGCTAGGCAGAAAATAAATGCTATGGCTCTTTTACGTATAATTCTTTAATGCGAAATCTCGCAGTGACTAATCTTTGGGAATGTTTTATGATTTTATGATTTTATCCTCTGTCTCAAATAGGACGTAACACTTTAAATATATATTTCTCAAACGTATTTTAGCTAACCACTATACCATTTAAATATTTCTTTGAAATGACGCTAAAGACGAACAGTAATAGTTGAAATCTCCAGACAGTATAATTTGAATGTAAACAGAGGGCTGGTTACCCTCGATCTGTTGGAAACTCAAGAAGTTAATGTCTTTGCCGTCTTTGAACACTCAACCAGTGTCCATGATTATTTAATACAACACCATTAAACAA